GTAACTGGTATGAAAATGGATTGTGAGAGGCCATAAAGGACACATTAATGCGAGGAAATGCCAGAGAACTTTAATTTTCCTTTGCTGTCATGGTCATGTTTTGTGAATGTAAATCAGCAACATTTTAATTTAATAACCAAATACTTCCTCAAGCTTGTTGATATTTGCAAAATTTTGCTTAAAAGGAAGCATTAGGCTAATGCCCATGGCATTGAAAAAAAAGTGTGGTATGGTTCTTAAGGGCCAAACTAGAGTACTTTCTCAAAATGGAAACTGAAATCAACTATCAGTAATTATCAGTGGGTGGGCCAGGTTGGTGTAGGGGTGAAGGCATCTGTCTAGAAACTGCGAGACCATGAGTTCTGGCTCCACCTTAGGCATGAAGCCCCCGGGTGACCTTGGGCCAATCACTCTCTCTCAGCCCTAAGAAGGCGGCAATGACAAACCACTTCCAAAAATCGTGCCAAATAAATGGCAGGGATTAGTCCAGGCAGTGGCTAGGAATCAGCACTGACTCAAAGTCATGCAGACACGCAATTATCAGCAGCCTGGTTCAGATGTTCAGTTCCTGGTTCCCTGAACTATAATTTAACACCCAGAAAGAGCAACAAGACTGTGAGTTCCGTTTTCACTTCCTTTTTACATTAAACCACAGTTAATCATTAGAGCTGAAATAAAGGAACTGTAGGTGACTGTTAATTTACTAAGGTTTGAAATTACATTTCGAATTACATTTAAGATTCTGGTTATTATCTTACATTAACAAATGACATCTAAATCCCTTCTGGGGTTATGCTGCTGGGCAGGGGGAAACGGTGGACGACTCGAGTGGAAAGAAGTACAGGAGCTCCAGTGTTGACAGACTGAGCACCCTCCTTCAGTATCCCCCAGCACTTCCCTTTTTGGCTTTTGCCACTTGTTAGAATGCCAACAGAGAGGCAGCAGAAAGAGAAACTTGCAAGGGCAGATCTTCCTCTCTACTAATGGATCTTACTATCTAGCTGAGGTTTTGTCATACTAAGGTGCTCTTCCAGGGTTCCATAAATATAAGGAAAGGAAGTGACATATGATCCTTGTACTATTTCTTTCATACTAAATCAAGCTGGGATTTGAACCTGCACTTGTTTTGCCTTATTAATACTTTCTTCCCTGAATACAGTGCTGAGCAAATACTCCAATAAAATAGATATTCTCCATGTAAAATCAGTTCTGTGAGTAAACAAAGCACGGCATGCTTATGCAGCTTTTGTGCTTGAAAGCAGTTTTTTTAAGTGGTGAAAAGTAGTAGGAAGCAAAATGCTGATAAACATTCATAGTTGTGTTTACTTGGAACTCCCACTGATTTCAGTGAATATGAATACGTTATAGAACATAGATATCTTGGAGGAGTGAAAAGTGATAATGCTGGTTTTCCTTAAATCATTTAGTAAAAGATGTGAGTTATTTATCCCTTTTCAAATGGCACATTCACAGATTGGGCAAATTGATAAGCTAATGTATATTTGTGCTTTTTAGTTTTTGAATGAATAAATATTCTTAAGTTTCAGATGAGGATGTTAAGCTTCATCTCAGAAGCTTGTCACCCATGTAACTGTAATCTTCAACATTGCAGAAGAGATGTAGAAAGAGCCCTCAGCTGCCCCATGTGGTTTCTTCTTTGATTTCTAACAATAAAAGATTATTAGATCTAGAAATGGTAGATTCTAAAGCATGGTGTTCAAGTTATGGGAGACTGACAGGTTCATCATTGTCAACTGTAGACTTGGAGCTATGAGAGAATACAACCACAAAGACCATGTTTTTAAAGAAAAAAGTGCTGTGGTTCAGTGAGCTTGTGGATGATTCATTTTGTCCCTTACCGGATCTACTGCTTCACCTATTTCTCAGCTTCTGGGCTCCAGGTCTTTCAAGATGAAAGGTAGCTTGTTGCTTTTTCAGCTCCTCCTTGTGGCACCCACTGAAAGTTCTGGCGGTTGGCATATAATCAGATAAATGCATAACAACATGAAATAAGAGCATGGCTTGGCGTTTGTGTGTACAAGGAAACAAACCTTCCCCCTTTTTTTATGGAAGTAGGGGGGTAAGGGTTACTACTGCTGATCTCAGCTCAAGGCAGAGCTCTGAGTTTTGCTCTTCATTTTTAACATTTCAGTTGTAGATGGTCTTCAAATGGCTTTTCAAGGATCGGCAAATGAAAACAACAGTGATATAAAAGTGCCCTAATAATAATTGCTTCAGAAATTCATCTCTTGTCATGCCTTTGAAGGAGTCTGGCTAAAATATAAATGCAAGTCTAACAAAATGATCTAGGTGTAATTTACTAGCTCTGGACTCATTAGTTAGGATTTGCACTAATGCTAAGGGTATTTTGACTTTTTCTTTGAATAGCTATTTGCTTTTTCTTCCCAGAGACATGCTTTTGAAAGTAGTTTACAATGTTAGTATCAAGGCATGGCTGCTTTTGACAAAACATGAATATAAATTTTAAGATCATGGAAGTAGTGCCACAATCTGTTGGCTCCTGACAATTGTTTAAAACAGTTTTCTCTCAGGCTCACTCTTACAGTGGCGTGGAATGTTATTAGTCACAGTGATGAAGCTAGTCCCGTTGCTTGGAGAAATTGGTACCTAAGGCAGTGTTTTGTAGAGTTAAGTGACCCAGATGGTATCCAGATTGTTTTTATTAAATATGCTTGAAAGGTACTGCACTTTATAGCTGCAGTTTTTAAAATAAGTTGCACTTTCAGGATTTCTAATACTATAGGTCATTGTGCCATGTTATATTTCTCTATTTGTTAAGACATAATTTTGAAGCTATTAAACATGTCATTTTCTCCAAAAGTATCTTAAACTAATATTCTGAAGATGAGTTAAAAGGTAGCATTATTCATACAGCTGTGTTTGTCACATAACAACCTGAATGGCTGAAATAGTTGTTACCACATGAATGTATCTTTGCTTGAAGTGGCTTTCAGGTTTGCAAATTAAATCTTTTATTTAGTTTGCCATTCATGTTGCTGGTGCTTAAATTGAAGGAGTAAGCTTTTCTTTAGCTGAATTGCCATCAAACTTAAATTGGTTCAGCATCATTTATTTTCATGCTGAATGGATTGGCTCAAAATAAGATTTCTTTGTAATGGCAAACTTTCAAAGCTGTATAGTTAGTGCATTCTTCAGTGTGAGCATTAATTTGGAATTCTTTTGCAGAGCTTTCTAGAAAAAAATCTGTGGATCACGCCAAAGATCTTACTAATCCATGATCAGTCATATGCTACTATGAAGGCCAGAAACACAGCTTGAAGATAATATGATGTTGAGGGGGGAAATGGGAGGAAGGACCACTAGGTATGCCACCTTGAGCTCTTGAAGGAAAGGTGGAATATAAAAAATAGATGGATCTCCCTCATTGTGGCCCACAATTGATATTCAGTTATTCTGTTTGGATCTCAATATACTTCTTGTTCCAACTTTACCGTATCCCATTTCAAAGCTATCTTAAACTCTGACTTGGGACAAGTTCCTTAATATTAACTCTGTACTATGTTAATAACTGGAAGCTTTTATTTTCAGACTATCTTCCTATCTGTTTGTTTTTTTTAAAATCTGCCTTTGGTATGCCATGTGTAATTAACAGGGGAAGAAATAGCAAAGTTTTCTAATAGATTCTTTAAGCTGTGATATTATTTCTTTGGTAGTACTTTTTATAACTATAGTTGATATTTGGTCTCTATGTTCAGTTGCCCAGAATTTTAAATACTAGAAATATTAGATTTAAAAAATACTTGCTAAAGCTTGTATGGGAAAGCCTTCTAAATCCACTTAACAATACATTATTTGTATTTTTAATGCAGTTACCAAATGACCTTATGTACGCATAGTGGTTGTGAGAGTACTTTGATATTGTTTGTATTCACAGTTGACATGTTCATGCATGTTGTAAGAATGTACAAGGGGAAATCTAGAGGATGGAGGAGTGGAGGAACCTAGAATATGCCTTGATGTATATGTTGATATAAGAGTTTTTCAGAGATGAAAGCTGCCACAATTAAATATTATTATGTACTTCCAGTGCTTCACAAATACTTCTGCCAGAGTGCTGACTAGCTAATATCTGCACAGCTGCAGTTAGTGGAGTCCTCTGCAAGGGACTGGTAATCATGAAAGCTACTATAGAATCTCTGGCTTACATTGACGGTGGGCAGTATGAATTAAATTTGCTTTGCTGGGTTTGCTCTGATGTTGATCATGTTCCTGCATTTCCATTTTACTTACAAACACACACAGTATTTGGTTTCTTGTTTTCTTTTTCAAGTGTTACTTTCCCAGAAGACTGTCTATTTTTACTCAGCATATGTATTGCAGACAAAAGAGGAATTATCTTAATTTTTGGAGACGATAGCCCTCTAGGCTGGAGTGGGTAAGAATAGGAGTGGGTTAGGCCAGGTCCTTGAGCCGTTTTCTTTGTGTAGTTGCCTGCTGGAAGGAGACTGTATCTTTCTCCTGAGGCCTTTGTGCTACCCTTTGTATAGGATATTAAAATCAGCTTTAGCTTCTCTTCCCTCATCCCATGCTCCTAGGTAAGTCTTCATGCTTGTGGAGTTTGGGATGTGAGTGTTCTGCAGTATCTGTGCAGTCTCAAACATCCAGGGGCTATGTTGGTATATCTGAGAGAATACATTCAGTACATTTACCTATAATATATTCTCCCTTGGTGGATTTTGCTGTCTAATCAGGATTTCTTAATATCTGTCAGATAGTCAGCCTGTTGTCACAAGGGTCATGTGAATTTAGCTAGGGAAATGTAACGACTTGTTCCTTTAAAAAAAAAAAATTGAAAACCTATACCTTTTATATATTCAGTACATTAATTCCATTATGTAAAATAATGCTAATATGTAATAAAATTGCATGAATAGCCAAAGTTCTAAGTATGTTTTCAGTGTTACTGTCTTGACTATAAGCATCTCTGGACAAGGCATTAGGGAGACCTTCATAATCTTAAGGTGTTTATAAGAAAAGGGAAAAACCTGCATCTTCAGTAATAATTTCAGTTACCAAATCTGGTCCAGAGCTTTGAAAAGTTAGCCTTACAATTTGCAAGCACAGTTTTGAGGACTGGTTGCTTTTTAAAAAATGATATATTAATTACTGCACATCCTAACATAATGAAGTTTCTCCTTGAGAAATCAGGTGTGTTTTTTCCTATTGCTTAGACTTTTTGCAAGAAAAAGTTACAGCAATTTTTTTTACAAGAGTTGGGGAAAGTGTTAAATATTTTGTTTAAGAACTGATAGAGGGATTTGCTTTGTTTAATAATGCAGGTTTGCTTTAAACATTGTAGTAAATCATGTTAATATGTATGTGCAAGAAGACTTGCAGAACAATTGTATTTTTTAAAATAAATATTTTTTAACAAAAATTTATCTTGGAATATTATTCTCTTCCACAGTAGACAGAAGATGTCATTACAGTACAATTTTTATAAAACTTTTGCTAGAAGTATTTGAAATCAGACCAGAGAAATAAGTATGAAGGATGTCCTGTAGCAGAGATAAGCATTTGGCTGCCAAACCAAAATCCAACTAGCCCCTCTCCGACCAGAGGTGGCTCTAAAGATCTTGCATGAACGGGCAGGCAAGCAATGCAAGCAAGGTGGTTGCTTATTGTGAAGTTTCTCTTTGGATTGCAGCATGGAAGCAAAGTAGCACCAAGGGCTACGTTTGGGTTGGGATTATTTAGTGCTACTTATACAGCCTGTTTTTAAAGTGACTGAATCCAAATCCCTTCTTCCCTGTGTTCCCAATAGCCCATCAATGCAGTGTTTCCTTTTCATATACCATCTTTAGAAGCAAAGGAGCGTCTGGGTTACAGCAGGCTTCAGTTTTATTTCACAGCCTCACAGATGGAAGAAGCCATTGGAGTGCTGAGTTCTCATTGTAGACTGCAATACGTGCAGCAGTTTGGTACTTTGCCCGGTCAGGCGAGGTGCTTGAGTGGGCGGTAGCGATCAATTCCAGACTCTCTTGGGTGAAATGATTTTCTAGATTCATTTCAATCTAGTTTCAGGCCTGGCTATGGAACAGAAACTGTTAGTCACCTTGTGAGATGATCTGGGAAAAAGACAGGGAGATTGCAACCATATTGGTCCTCTTGGACCTCTCAGTGGCTTTCAATACCATTGACTATGGTATCCTCCTAGATAGGCTTTCAGAGTTGGGATGAGGGGGTACTGTACTATGATAATTCCATTCTACTTGGCCATTTCCAGAAGGTGGTTCTGGGGAATTCATTATTATTTATTAAATGTATATGCCACCCGACTCTCAGCAACTCTGGGCGATTTCTCTTCTGCCTCGTGGTGGTTGGGCCTTGGGGTCTCTCAGAGCTCCACTTTATCTCCTGTGCTTTTTAACACCTACATCAGTGTTTCTCAACCTCAGCAACTTTTAAGATGTGTGGATTTCAACTTCTGCTGGCTGGGGAGTTCTGGGAGTTGAAGTCCACACATCTTAAAGTTGCTCAGGTTGAGAAACACTGGTCTACGTGCAACTGCTTGGAGAGGTCATCAGCTGAGGATATGTCAGTCATCAATATGTAGATGACACCCAGTTCCACCTCTCCTTCTCATCTAACCAGGTGAGTTGCTTGGTGTTCTGAATGAGTGCTTGGGCAAGTAATGGACTAGATGAGGGCCAATCAACTAAGACTCGGTCTGGACAAAACAGAAATCTTGTTTATGGATGGTGCATCTGTTCAGCCAAGTGGTGCCCTGCCTGTCCTAATGGAGTCTCTACTCATCCTAAAGGAGCAGGTTCATACTTTGGGGGTGTTGCTAATCCATCACTGTCACTAGAGGTCCAAATGGCTGATTTACCAACTTTGACCTTTCCTGGACAGAGACAGTTTCACAACACTTATTCACACTCTGATAACTTACCAGCTGGATTACTGCAATGTGTTATATGTGGAGCTGCCTTTGAGAGTGGTCCAGAAACTATAGTTTGTTCAAAATAGGCTAGAATGCTCAGTGGGGCTGGCTGATGCAACCAAGTTATGTCAATTCTTCACCATCGACACCAGCTGCCAGTCCATTTCTAGACCCAGTTCAAAGTGCTTTTTGACCTTTAAAGCCCTAAACCAAATTACCTGAAGGACTGTCTTCTCCCATATGTACATACTGGGCCTTAAGATCATCTCACAAAACTCTCCTCTAGGTCCCCTCCAGTAGGCCTCTACAAGGGGGAGAACTTTTTCTGTGGTGGAAACCAATTTATGGAATCCCTCTGAGGGACACTTGACTGGCACCTGCATTTGCATCATTTTGGCACCAGGTAAAGATCTTTTTATTTTCCGAGGCTTTTTAATTGACATTCAATTCTATTTTCTGAATTACCTCTGTGCTGGTGGTGGTTTTGTTTCTATGTTATTTGATTTTATCTATATATTTTTATTCATATTGTATTTTTAGTATAAGCTACCCAGAGAGCTTTGGCTATTGGGCAGTTTAAATAAACAAACAACTCAATCAGGTTTTCCACTTGATAATGCAAATACAGCATGGTCAGTGTGATGCAGACTTGCTAATTAAAACTGTTTTTAGAAATAACAAGAGCTTAATCCTGCACCTCCTGTACTGCAGACTTTGAAATAATTTATTCAGGCAATTCTGAGAATGTTTTTTGTTTGTTAAGTACCTCTTAGGGGCCTGCAAAGCATTTTGAATGAAAGTACCTCAAATTTGGCATACCTGTTTTTCAGTGCAACACTGTTTTGAGTTTGAAACACAACATGCTCCAAGTAGTCTGCTTCATATCTGAAACAGGAGCATTTACATTAAAAATTATTTGATTCAAAATATTTTGCACACTTATGGTGTTTTTGTGTGTTAAAACACATTGATAATCATTAATAAACTGAACAGTTTTTCACAAGACTTTGTTTTTTTTGCCTTAGGCTGCATCTACAAAAGACACTTTTGCTCCAGACTGTTTTATTCAGATTGTGTTCACACAATATGTTAATCCATACTTTGCTTAACATGGATTATGGAATAAATCACAATTGTTTGCATTTATATGACATATCAAACTATGTCTTACAAACCACAATCTCTGGGTTCTGACGGCAATCTAAATAAACTGTGATTTATAAATACATTAAACCAATGTCAAGCAAACCACATTATGATTTAAGGTTAAAATTTCCAATCCTGGTTTGTATTTGGCTATGAGCTGTATTTGGCTATTAAGTCATGGGTTGGATGCTACACTCCAGCAAGTGGGTGAGCCAGGACAAATTTAAATTTAACCTCAATTTTAATTAAAAATGTTATTACCTATGTCATTAATTTCCCCCTCTCACATATTAAAAAGAACTTGCAGATAATATGGTAATCTTTCTTTTGTAGCAGCAGAAGCTTGTACAAGCTTCAGCTTGAATCTTGTGTAATGCCAGAATCTTAACACATGAAATTTGGAACTAAGATTCACCTGATTTGTCTTCTGGTCTAGAAAAGTAAAAATCTAGAAATGGGCCATTAGAAAAGTTCAGTGGTCCACTTTATACTCATCTGAATATATAAACTTGAGTACACATGCTCTGTAATAAGGACAGTGTATTTTAAGGTTTAAACAACATGGAAATCAAAGATGAGGGTGCATACCCATGCAACATAGCAATCTGAAAGCCACATTGCAATACAAATTTAGTATAAATATACAATTTTGAATTGAGAAGTGCAACACGCTTCTTAGAAAAAATAGCTTAAGTAATGTTGCTGGGTCCCATCTTAGTCACTCCACAAGTTCATGCAACAATACCATATTTAACATTCCTTTATATATACATACAGATGTATACCCATGGGGCAGCATTGGCAATCCCCACCTATCCCATTACCTTCATCTGAGCCAGTCATGAGAATAGCTACCACTTATTTAGTACCTCTCAAGTTCTGTTCCTGGAAGGCACCTATTACACAATATTGCACAATTGCAAGAGACATAACATTTGACTTCATGTACTTTAAAAAATTTTAATACTTCAGGACTTGGGCTCTTGTGACAAATAAATTAGCCCATCTGGCTTATACCGTTTAGTAGGCTAATGTTAAAAGGCCAGTTTATACTGATTCAACCAAGCTTAACCCATCGCTAGTTGAACTGTATACTGTATTATCAACAGTGTCTAGGGCTTTTCACCACCAGAACATAGTAAAGTCCCATCTGGGGACAGACAAAACTTGAATACTTCAAGCTGGGGGGCAATTTGATACAATATTTTTATTCTGGATGGCTATGTACAACACCAAGGATAGAGATTTTTAAAACTTTCCTGCAGCTAACAGTTTGCAGCTTACATAATTAAGAAGGGTGCTTTCCAAAACTTCCTACATATAAAATACTAGTACTGTATATCCCCACCCCTCCCCAGCTTCCTGTCAGCAAAGTCTGTAAAATGACAGTAGTACATTTTTTTCACCTGTGCTCTTGAATGGACTTAAATGATCATATATCAAAAGTTTGGCCTCTCTAGGATTCTGCAGATTGTCCCTCAGTCTTTGTTGCTGTGACCATTCCCTTCTAACCATAAATGGGAATGAACTGTAATCAAGGAGTTCAATTGTAGAAAAATCAGGTAGTTTCAAATCAGACTTTGATAACAAATCTTTCAGTTGAAATGACCATGTGCTTGATCCAGGTAAGAACTTGCTGTTTTATTTAGCTTTGATAAAGTCCATGTTCCCCTATTGTTGGCTGCTTGTCAGGTGACACGTCCATATCTACAAAACAAGATTTTGAAGCTGTTATTTAAAGTGAAGCATCAAAAGCCCTTCACTGGCTGTTTTTTTTTTTTAAATAATTAAAATATCATGTGCCTTCTACCCTCTTCCATTCAAACTTGCTTTATGAAGTACTATTAGTTCTGTCTTACAATGTGCAATAGACATAGATGGAGACTTGTACTTCTAGATACCAATTGTGGGCAGGTGCTATTCTTCAAAATGTGTGCAACTTCTACATATACTGGGTTGAACGTCACTCTTTGATATATGTACTGATACCAGGATACCTCATGGAGCAAAACCAAGTTTTGCATACAATTGTCTTGTAAATGGAGGCAGTTTACATGCGTTCATAGCTATTGAGGTAAACCTCATCCCTAAAGCTCACAGCGATAGCAGGGTTTGTTTCTGCATTTATTTGCTTGAAAAAATTGTGCACTTAATACTTCTTGAACATAACTATTACTAATAATTCTGACAACATCTGGTGCATTACAGGAATGAGGAGCTCTGGCTTTCTATAGGATGCTGAACTACAGCTCCTTCACCATAGGCCATGCTAGATGGTGCTGCCTGGGAATGGAAGGACCCAGGTTCCTCATGCCTGATATATAACATCAAATCCCCATTAATTCTTCAACTGAAATGGTAGCAACTGTAATCTGAAAAGGTACAATGCCAGAAGTTGAAATCTCTTCTAAACTCAGCAAAGAAAACCAATTACTGTTTATTTATTTAGTGTCTATAGATTTTCTCCACTCCACACCCACTTCCCTGGCTTCATTTTTTGTGGTCTCCTTGTCCAAGAATAAATAAAGTAAAGGGATCTGCGGTTGCTTGGGCATTCAGTCCAGTCCAAGCAGGACAAAGGGAAAGGAAGCAGCTGTAAAATAAACACTTCCTTGCATTTTTTTTAAAATTCAGAGTTTTCCCTGTTTGTTCTGCATTAACGTACACCCTCTTCCACCCTGCCTGCCTTCCTTTCTTTTCAGAAGTGCTGCTGTTGGTAGGGCGAATAAGCTGGCAGTCTCACCTGATTGGGACTGAGGGTGAATTCTGTGGAAAAATAGAAGGAAGACGTAGAAAGTAAAGGCCAAAGCTCCAAAGATGGTTCCACACACCAGGAAACTATAGCTACCTTGATCATGAATGATCTGCCAGAAAGAAAACAGGGTATTTTAGGTTTTCAAGCTTCAGGCACTGTCTTAAAAACTAATGAGCACAGCTTATGTCTGGGAGGAAGAAGAACATTAAAGTGCTCCAGCACTGCTGACTGAGGTTATGCAGACTTCATTTCCCTTGAGTGAAGAAGTTTGAGCCAGACTCTCTGACCTTCAGGGAAAGTAGCAAATGCCATCTGCTTCCCCAGGGTTTCTACCTGCCAGAGACTAGTGTGTGTTTGCACACTGTGTTTGCATGTACGTGGGAGGAATTGCAGTTCAAGAAGTGCCAAAAGCTCAGAAGCAACATGATCATGAGAAGAAATGTTTTTTCCCTTTCTTCAGCTTAGAACTTTGGATGACCAATAGGATACCTCTAAGCTCCAAACTGCTGCCATGGGAGCCTAGCAGATCACAGCTCAGTGGAAATGCACACACTTCGCAATTCTTTGATTACTGTTGGCCTCAGTCGGCCTCCAAAATAAATGTGGTTAAAAACACTGAGCAGCATTTCCATATGCTAGAAATATTGTCTTGCAGAATTTTGCTAGCTTTTTTTGCACCCTTTCTCTACAAACTGCCACCTATGCTAGAGAACACATTACAACTCAGCTAAAGTTTGGTGGTCCAGGATATGTTTGTATCCCAAGTATAGTTCCCAGCATTTTATTTATTTAAAAGACTTACATGGGGCATCTTCATGTAAGGCTCTTTGGATAGCTTTTCTGAAATCCAGCTGGTGCAGACACTACTGAGCTAGCTGAATTAGCAGTCTTGGTACAAGGTAGCAGTTTTCTCTTCAGAGGATCTACTTCCTGGGAGGTAGTCAGATGCTACATAAGTTAATTGACACCCAACAGGGTGTCATTTTGATATGTTGTGTACTTACCGACCCTACCAGTAACTGTAGAACCATCTCTCCAATTCCTGCTCCCGTCACCAACACAGTAGTGGCGCAGCCTGGAATAAAAAGTTGGCATCTGTTTTAATTATGCAGATGATATAAAGACAATATATGTATAGCTGGCACATTCAAACGTAAATGGCAGAAATTAATCTGTAGTATAAATGACCTGTCAGGAGTGCCATTCCATCTGTCTTGTGCTGCAGTCCAAGATAAACATTCAGTGTTAATTTAATGTCATCAAAGTAAATAAGCAAAAAAGAGCATCAGGATCTGTGGTTTATTCACTTTGGAAGAAAGAATTAACTCTTTGAGACCCATCTGGTTCCTTCCCCTTTCAGCATTTGCCCAGTAATGTGGCAGCAACTAGCTGATCTTGGCTGATCTCAAAAAACTCAGAAGGTTTGGACCTAGTTAGTATTTGGATGGGAATACCAGAAAATATCAGGGCGGTAGAGTAGACTGGAAAGTTGAGAAAACATCCCAGAAGATGTTTTCAATAAATCACTTCCATTTGGTTGCCAAGAAAATG